ACCTGCAGTCTGCCGATCACCTCCTGCATGAGATAGAAGCGCTCAGCAGTGCAGGGCTTATCTCAATGGTTGAATATGCTAAGCTGAAGATGGCCCTGAACCGGGCTTTAGCTCAGGAGAGCTAACAGAAGGTCCATGCAGGAGCTTCATGCGCTGAGTGGTAGAAGTGTCTGGCACCCAGCAGACCCCAGGTAAGTTGCTAAACCTTTAGCGATTAGTTTGACTTCTAATAGAGGGAGCACCAGGGAAATTATGGCACTATGACCACTACAGTGTGCTGTACTGGTTACAGTGAACAACTTTAAGATTGACATGCTTGTTACCCAGAATGTATTAAAATAATGGAGTGACATAGCAAAATATTTTACCTCATTAAGACTACAGGCTCTATATAACCAAACCATCTACTTCTGCCCACAGGGCCGGCCTTAGGGGTGTGTGAGCTGTGTGGCCGCACAGGGCGCCATGGAGCTGGGGGTGCCATGTGGCCGACACAGCTCGCACATGGCTGGTGTCAGTGGAGCTAAAATAGGTACCCGGGTGGAGGATTAATTATTCTCCACCCGGGTCTATAAAAAAATAAATAAATCAATCAATAAATGTAAAAATAGAGGGGCGGGGCTTACTGCGAGGTGGAGGCGGGGCTAATACCTCCCCAAAGCCCCTGCACAGGAAGAGGGAAGAAGGAAGCAGCCCCTGCCTCCCTAACAACTAACTGCATCCACTCCCCCATCCAGCCATAATGGAAAGAGTAAGTCTGTATGTCTCTGTGTGTGTGTGTGAGACTGCTTGCTTGTGTGTGACTGTTTGTCTGTGTGTCTGCATGGCTGTGTGTGTGATACTGTCTGCCTGCCTGTGTGTGTGACTGCCTGCCTGCGTGTGTGTGACTGTTTGTCTGTGACTGTCTGTCTGACAGCTTGCCTGTGTGTGTGACTTTCTGTCTGACTGCCTGCCTGTGTGTGTGTGCCTGACTGTGTGACTACCTGCCTTTGTTTGACTGTCTGTCTGTGTGTTTGACTGTCTGACTGTCTGTCTGTGTGTGTGACTGTCTGCCTGACTGCCTGTGTGTGTGACTGCCTACCTGCCTGTGTGTGTGTGTGTGACTGTCTGTCTGACTGTGAGTGCCTGACTCTGTGTGTCTACCTGCCTGTGTGTATGTGTGACTGTTTGCCTGTGTGTGTGACTGCCTGCCTGCGTGTGACTGTCTGTCTGACTGCCAGTGTGTGACTGTTTGCCTATGTGTGTGTGTGTGTGACTGCCTGCCTGTGTGTGTCTCCAATTGTGTGTGTCGCTGTAGCTGTGCCTGTATGTGTGACTATCTGCTTTTAACTGAGTGTGTGTGTCTACATGCCTGTAACAGAGTGTGTATGACTGTCTGTCTGTGACTGTGTGCCTGTAACTGTGTGTTTGGCTCTGTGACTGTCTGCCTGTAACTTAGCATGTGTGACTGTCTGCCTGTGTGTGTGTGTGTGTGTGTGTGACTGTCTGCCTGTAACTAAGCATGACTTCCTGTAACTGTTTGTGTGACTGTATACAGGCAACTTGGTGGGGGGGGTGGGGGGGACCGTGAAGACTTTTAGCACAGGGCGCCTAATGGCCTAAAGCCGGTCCTGTCTGCCCATATACTAACAGATATACAATTTTATGCTAGGTAGTTTTAAATAATAATAATAGTAATAATAAGATATTATGTATAAAATGTCAGAACTAGAAGCTGTTAGTAGTAAACCTACCAGCATTACCAGTCATATTCTACAGTAAATAAAAAGAGGAAGAGCCCGAAATCTCTTTTTATTGAAAGTTTGTCAAATTTTTCATTGCATATCATGCGAGAAGATAGGTGGAAACGCGCAGGTTTCCAACGTGCTGAATAATACTTGGTCATGGGAGATACACAGATCTGAGATAGTAGTATAGAATGAGACACGCAGGTCTCTAAACAGCCCGGCTGGCTAACAAATAACATTAAAACATTTTATTTTGATACAAAGGTGCCAATATATTGCTTAACAATTCTAGTTTAGTTTATCTGTTTGCAGTCCTCTCTTCACTTTGCATGTATTGTCTATCGTGTGGTGTAACGTCCTGTCGTGGCGTAGGTGGTTGCCTTGGGGTGGTCTTGTATTTGTGTCGGGGTTACTAGGGATAGGGCTTGTATATCTTCTTGTGTGCAGGCCCCTGCGTCTGGATTGCGAGGTTGTGGTATGTGTGTCCCGCTGATTTTCGGGGTTCTAATGCTCCCTGGTTCTGTGTGTGTTTTCTCGGAGGCTCAGTGGTGTGTTACTCCTTTCCGTGTTGTTGGGGCTCCTTCAGTCCTGTGGTGCGTGCTGTGCTATTTCTAATCAAAAAATGTTGTTTTGGTTTTTTTTTATTATTGGGGTGGTGCAGTTGTGGTCTTGTTTTCCTAGGTGCACGGGTCCGATGGGGGTGGTACTGTTTGTCCGGGACTTGGGTTGGTTTTGTAGGGTGTGATGTTGGGACTATGGGTCATGGATCACTTTAGGTGGTGATCTGACTGTCCCATTTCCAGGCCTGTGTGTGTGGGTCTTGTGGGTCTCAGTTGGTGTATATGTCTCCTTCATGGCTTTAATTTACTATGTGCTAGAGGTGTTGTGCGTTTACTCCTTTGTCGACCGTCTCCCCCGTGTGCAACCGTGGATCGAGTAGTAGATCATAGTCACGTCTTGTGGTCATGTTATTGGGTTTAATTCCTAGTCTCCGTTCAGTCATGTGAAGATCTCGTCATCTGGCTGGCATGTGTGTCCCCTATTGCCCCCCCGCATCCGCCGGGTCGGCGTGTGGGGTCGCAACATCGACCCCCCCGCCCCCCGGCGATGTGCCCCAGCCACGGCCCTCACTGTTCCATATATTTTTCGCTTTGTCCCGCAAGGGAAGCCCTCACGTTTTCTGCGGAACGGATCTCCTCCACTCTGTCGTACCATTGGGTTAACGTTGGGGACTGTGTCTGTTTCCACATTGCGGGTAGGAGCGCTTTGGCTGCGTCCAGCAGGTGTCTCAATGTGGATTTTTTGTATTGTGATATTGGTCTTGGTGTCGAGTGTAATAAGTATGGCTCTATATTAAGGGGGAACAGTTCCCGAAGGATCTCTGCGATTTTTACGCTGATCTGGTTCCAGAATTGCTGTATAATTGGGCAGTTCCACCAGATGTGTCTCAGAGTACCCTCCTCTTCCCTGCACCTCCAGCATGTTTCTGGTACACTGGAGAATATCTTATGTAGGCGTGACGGGGTTTTGTACCAAGAGTTTGTAATTGATTTCTTGGTATCGGGAACTCACGGAAGATTTATGGTGTAAGATGAGTATTTTTTCCCATTGGTTTGGGGTGAATTCATGGTCTGTGATGTGTTCCCATTGCATCTTGAATGTGAGCATTTCCGTGCGATCTCCCGTGAAGATGTATTGGTAGAGATAAGAGATTGCTCTGCCGATACTCGTGTTGGTTAGGCACAACTTCTCAAATGGAGTTAGGGCCCTGTGTACAGCCGCTCTGTCACGGAATGAATGGTAGAAATGTCTCAATTGAGTATAGCGGAAGGACTGCTGGGGGGTCGGGGTTTGCGTGTTGGTGAGTTCTGAAAGTGGTTTTAGGTTGGTGTCATCCAGGACGTTGCGGAATGGTACGTAGTCTTGTTCTTGCTCTCCAAGTATTCCCCATGCTCTGGCAGTGAGGCCGCCTCCTACGGATCGGTTGTTGGTAAGTGGGATCATTGGGCTTGGTGATGGAGATATGTGATTGGCCCGTCTCACCTTGTTCCACACATGTAAGGTATGTGTTGTCGGTGATGTTCTGTCTGGTTCTTTCTTGGCTGCAGCCTTGGTCCCCCACACTGCCTCCAGTGTGGACGCATGGCCTCCCGCCTCCATCAGCAGGATCTATTGTTTATGTGGCGGGCGAGTGTGCCACTCTAGTATGCGTTGCAGCATAGTGGCCTGGTGATATTTTTTCATGTCCAGGAGCGCGAGGCCGCCCCAGTGACGAGGGAGGCATAGGGTTTCATGTCTGATCCTGGGTCGTTGACCCTTCCAAATGTATTTGATGATAGCTTGGAGGAAAGACGAGACAGGGGGGATATGATAGAAACATTTAAATATATAAAGGGAATCAACACAGTAAAGGAGGAGACTATATTTAAAAGAAGAAAAACTACCACAACAAGAGGACATTGTCTTAAATTAGAGGGACAAAGGTTTAAAAATAATATCAGGAAGTATTACTTTACTGAGAGGGTAGTGGATGCATGGAATAGCCTTCCAGCTGAAGTGGTAGAGGTTAACACAGTAAAGGAGTTTAAGCATGCGTGGGATAGGCATAAGGCTATCCTAACTATAAGATAAGGCTAGGGACTAATGAAAGTATTTAGAAAATTGGGCAGACTAGATGGGCCGAATGGTTCTTATCTGCCGTCACATTCTATGTTTCTATGTTTCTATGATTGCTGATCTGAGGGAGGAGAAATACGCTGAGGGTATCGTCATTGGTAACGTTTGAAACAAATAGAGCAGTCGGGGCAAAATATTATTTTTCACTACGGCGATGCGCCCCAACCACGATATGTGTTGGGGGTTCCAATCACAAAGGTCTCGTTGTATCTTGGCGAGGAGCGGAATAAAATAGACGCGTAGAGATCCTTTGGGTCCTCGTGAGCCAGATTCCTAGGTACTTCATCCTGGACTCGCACCAGTGGAATTGGAATTGTGTGCGTAAGCAGTCATTCTCTTTGCTGGGTATTGATATATTGAGGACCTCGCATTTTGGCAGATTTAGTTTAAGGCCAGATATATGACCATATGTGAATTCTCTTAGAAGGCATGGAAGAGAAATTCTGGGTTGTGAGACAAAGAATAACATGTCATCTGCGTATGCTGCCGTTTTATGCGTGGTCCCGGCGGAGTGGAATCCCCTGATGTCTCCATTATTTCGTATGGCTTCGAGAAGAAGCTCCAGTGTCAGGGCGAAGATCAGCGGGGACAAAGGGCATCCCTGCCTCGTCCCGTTCCGGATTGGGAAAGGGGTCATGAGTTTACCCTGACTTGTGCATTTGGACGGCTGTAAATTGCCGTAATCCAAGTGAGCAGACTAGTGCCAAATCCCATCTCCCTGAGCAGCTCCGACAGGTATGTCCAGTCCACCCTGTCGAAGGCTTTTTCAGCATCGGTGGAAAGAAGTAGCAGTCGGTCTCCTGAGCGTTTGGCGAGGTGTTGGATGTAGAGGGCCTGTAGTGTGCTGTCGCGAGCTTCCCTTCCTGGGACAAAGCCTGTTTGATCTGGGTGTACCAGTCTAGGAAGCAACGAGTTGAGGCGACTCGAGAGGACCTTGGTGAATAATTTGATATCTATGTTCAGGAGAGAGATGGGCCTATAACTGCTGCACTGCTCTGGGTCCTTTCCCGGCTTGGGGAGGATGGTTATGGTTGCTGCCAGCGTGTCATCATGGAGCTTGTCCCCCACTGTGATTGCGTTCATGGCTTTGGTCAATTTTGGGATGAGCGTGTCCCCAAATTTCTTATAGTATCCAAGAGTGAGTCCGTAGTGGGCCGGTGCCTTGACCGTCTTTGTTGTTTTGATTGCTGCCTTAATTTCTGCTTCAGTGATGGGAGCATCCATGAGTTCAGCCTCGTCTTGGGTTACGTGACTGGCGAGGTGTCGTGCTAAATATTGTTGAATCTCCCTTTTCTTGGTGTGTGCCGGGATGGTAGGGGGCTGTGAGTGCAGATTATATAGTTGAGTGTAGTAGGCTCGAAATTCATTCGCTATTTTTTCAGGGTGTTGAGTCGTTTGTCCTCCGGGTAGTTTCAGCTTGTGCACTTGCGCAAGTGTTTGTTGGCCTTTGAGTATACGGGCTAGGAGTTTGCCTCCTTTGTTGGCATGTATATAGTAAAAGGCGTTCGACCCCTGTAATTGCCGGTAGTGCTTTTTGACCAGTAGTGTATGTTGTTGGCTTCGGAGATCCAGCTGTTCCTTGTAGGTGTCCTCTGCAAGCGTTCCCTTGTGGCGTGCCTCGATGTTCCCGATTCTATTGAGGAGGTCCACTATCTGTCATCGGGCCTCCTTTTTCTTTTTCGTTGCCAGTTGAATTATGTATCCTTTCACTTATGGGCTTCCCAAATGGTAGTAGCTGGGGTATCTCCATTTTCGTTTTGTGAGAAGTAGTCGTTCAAGGCCGCGGGCGCCGCTCTGTGTCACCAGGGAGGGCGCGTGAGGTGTTGTTTGTCATGAGTGTGTAGTACAGTCATGTTCCCGCTCTAGGGGTGACCTTGCCCGGGGCCCGCCGACTCACCGCCGTAACTATTGTTCACACAGGAGGTGTGGGGTGCGCGTCTCTCTCCGCCCTGTCGGCAGATGATAGTGGTTCAAGGTGTGGTGGGTGTGTCATCCTCACGTGGAGGCCTATTCCCGTGGGTAGGATGAGTACTATCTATAATAAAGTTCTTCCATCATGTGAAGTCGTGTATTTGTCATAGCCTGCTTGCACCTGCGATCTGAACTTATCTATGGGTTTAGTAGTATTGTCCAGTATGCGTGTCCTGCCTTGCGGTCGGCAAGCCGCCTCAGCTCCACCTCTGTACTACGTGGTCTAATTGTATCAGCGGTGTAAACCTCTGCTCCTGTCCTGTCTGCTTAACCGTGTGTGTCTCTTCTCCCTGTCGCTGGTGCGACCGGCGTTCCCCTGGTGGTTAAATGTCCGGGGGTGGGGGGTGTATGTATGGTCTGCAAAGAGAAGGGCTACCTGGAGCGCGGGGGGATTCGTTATGATGTTGCGAAATTGGGGCGTATGTGCTCCAATGGACACCAGTCCTGAGGGGTGCTTTGTAGAGTATGGTCCTGTGTGTTTTCTGGACTGTTCGGCCTGTTCGGTATGTTGCCGGTGTTTCCTACTCGTTCACGGTGACCATGTTGTGATGGAAAGTTATTTTGTTTCCGGTCTGTGAGTCCTAATGTGCGGTGTTGCCTATGGGGAACCCGCGTTGCTTTTCTAGGGTGTTACTTGTGAGTGTGCCTACTGCCTGTCTTGACCCCAGTTGTCATGGTAGTAATGTCGTGATCTCTCGTCTTTCATAGGTTGATCATCCTAGGATGATACCTACTGGGGTTATACATTATGTTTTGGGTAACCAAAGACACGCTCATAGCATACATTAAATTATCACCCTGTCAGAGTAAACGATCAACGTGTAGATGCATTTAGGATTGAAATCTAAGCAGTCAGGTTCTGCAGTAGCTCATAGCAGGGAGACTTTGACAACATGCTTAAGCTTTATACATTTTCCTGGACCCCTAGAATTACAGAACCATGCCTGTAAATAACTTCCGTGGTGCCATTTTCCCATCCTGGGGAGGGGTACTATAGAATGTGCTACCTGGCGTTTAATTTTTTTTTTTGGGGGGGGGGGGGGGGGTTGGGTTCTGTAGTAATTATTTAGTTAAGGGGGGGGCCCTATTTGTATTCCTCGTCTGTCTTAGTGTGGCTTCTTCTAGTGGGGAAAGACTGGTAGCCCACAGGGTGGACATGTAGCAGTTACCCTTATAGGGTCAGCCAGTGTGGTTTAGCTAGCTTAAGGCTGTGGTGGAGAGTATGTATCAGTGAAAGTTCCAATTAGTGTGAACCAAAGCTCCCCCTCTCCTTTTCTGATATCCGCCTGCTCATTTTACGTAGGTCTGTAGCATCTGGTGCTGCATGTTGTTACGCTATTCATATGGCTCTGCCTGGTGTTGTACAGAGGATTTACTTTTGCTGCCTATTGCAGGACGTTTGGTCTCAGTTCAAACTGTTGTGGCGTGGGGTCACATATGGCGGCTGTTCGGTAGGGGCCTGGTGTTCCCAGAGAGGAGCCTCAGGTCTGAGTTGGAGGTGTGATGACCATGGATCCCAGGTTTCTTTTTTTTTTGTGTTAAGTCCCCCCCCCGGTGCTCCCTTTCCCCTCCCAAACTTAGTCAATTTCCCATGCCCCCGTGTAGTCCCCTCCGCGGGTGTCTCTTTATGTGTTCTTGTGTATTTATTTTTTATTTCTTATATTATTTTTTGTTGTTGTTTTTTGTTTAATCCCCCCCTTGGTGTTCCCTTTCCCCTCCCAAACTTGGTCGAGTTCCCTCCCGTCGTGTAGTCCCCTCCGTGGATGTCTCTGTAGGGGGTTTTTTTTGTGTGTGTGTGTGGTGGGGCATATTGCCCATCTCCCCAGTGTCCCCTATGGTAACTTGGATCGGTGGTTAAGTCTGTCCATGTCGCATGTGTGGCTGATGACCCCCCAGGACCCCCTGCACAAGTGGTGAGTGGATATGGTGCTCATGCTTTTTTTTTGAGGGGGGAGGGGGGGGTTGTACCTCGTAGGGTGGGGGTCATATGTCTTACCGGGGTTCAGAGTGTTAGGTTCCAGCTGAGGTTATCTGGTGGTGTTTAGTTTCCCTCTTCCGAATAGGTCCCAGTGTACATGAGCACACGCTTTTGTTTAATCCTTTATACTCACGTCATACAAAACAGAGATGCATAAGTACAGCACACCTGTCACGACTGCCTAATATGATGATGTGACATTTAATGCACATACATTTTAATCTATATGTTGTGGTAATCTAATTTGTAGCAGATGCATACATGATGCATACATCAAAAGTACACAGAAATAAGAATTTGTGTGTTTTCAAGGCGCTTTCAGTTAATAATTGAATAGAATGACAGCAGCTACCACACAAATAGGGACTCTCTACCCTATAGATTAGTACAAAAAAGATTAGGTGTACACTCAGTATTGGAAATTAATGATAAAAACCACCACTGGTGTGCATATGGAGCGCTTACAAATTTGTTAACTCACCCATATGGGTTAACATACATATGTATGGAAAACGTGACTCATAGCGATATGTAT